AACTGAGGAAAGCCACTCGGGAATCGGAGGATGAGATGGAATGTGTGGGTTTGCCTAAGACCAGAACTGGATGTTGCCTCCACATTTTGATCAAGGGCTTAATAAATGGAAGAAAATGAACAACAGAATTTTAAATTCTCGTGGACTCCAGATTTTCTGGAGCCAAGGAGGCTAAATGAAGCCACAGAACTACTGCCATGATCTAATCTTTAAGCCTGAAGCCAAAAATAGCCCCAAAGTTGTCTTAAAACCAAATAGCAGGTAAGCTTATGCTTTTAAGACCTATCTATTTAAGATCAGATGGTCATCAGCTACTCAAAGATGAGACAGGAACCTTGGAGGACAGGGTGTTAGTTAGTAGTTGGGGAACTCAGAAAAGGAGGGTGAGAATGGCGCACAGCTGGATAATGTGACCAAGCTCAACGAACTACGGAAGATACTGACCTAGTGTGTGCATTTGTAACATCTGTAAATACTTAAAAACAATGAGCAACACAGGCGAAACGCTAGGGGTGTGCAGCAGAGCACCAAGGGGAGCCAAGCACGGAAGTCCCTGGGGAATACCAAAAATAGACTTTGGGGCCAGGGCATGACACCCCATCAGACTTGACTGGAAAACACTCCTAAAGGCCACCAAACAGACCTGGAACTATTTATAGGCTTTTCTGGTTTTGTCATTTTTTGTTGTTGTTTTGTGTCTTTGTGCTTATTATTGTCTCTGCATGTCTATCTAGATAAGATAGGCGGGATAAACAATCCAAAGGAGAAAACAATGGGGTGATGGTTGGGGGTGGGGGCGGACATGGGAGAGGGGGAGGCGGGGGAAAGGAAGGGGATGTCCACCAATCCAATGCCAAGGGAATAACTAGTGATCTAAAATTGATGAGGAGGAGGGCATAGGATGCCTGGTGGGGTTTAATCAAGGGCAATGTAGCTGAGAGGAATTACTAAAACCCACATGAAGGCAGAACATGACAGTGGGACAGGAGGAAAGTAAAAGGAAAAGAGGAAAGAACTAGGAGGCAAAGGACATTATAGAGGTCTAAATACAGATATGTACATATGTAAATATATTTATATATACTGATAGGGAAATAGATCCATATACATATATTTATATGTATTAAGGTAGCAGACAGACATTGTGCCTCTACTCAAGTGCTCGCTCAGTGCAAGAACACTTTGTTCTAATAACCTGGCATTCAGTTATGCTCACCTTCCTGACAAGATTGCTGAAGACAAAATGGGTGCTATATAAGCAAATGTGGCAAAGAAAGCTGATGGTGCCCAGCTATCAAAAGATATAACGTCTGGGGTGTTAAAGACTTGAAGATACACAAGCAGCCATCTAGCTCAGAAGCAAGAAAGCCCACATGGAAGAAGCACACAAGCCTGTGTGATCATGAGGTGTCGATGGGACCAGGTATCAGGTATCCAAGACCCAGAACAAAAACTCAGATCAATGTGAATGATGGGGAGTGTGGAGTGGGGACCCAAAGCCCATCTGCAGACAATTGGACATCCCCTTACAGAAAGGTTACAAGGAAGAGAGGAGCCAGTCAGGGTGCAGTATAATATCGATGAAACATACAACTTTTCTCTAGTTCTTTGATGTTCCCTCCCCACCACTATCATGACCCCAATTCTACCTTACAAATCTGGCTAGACCAGAGCAAGTACATGGGTACAGATAAGAGCTGGAAACACACGGTATCCAGGGCAGATAACCACCTCAGGACCAATAATGAGAGTAGCGATACCAGGAGGGGAAGGGGAAGGTGGGGGAAAAGGGGAAACTGATCACAATGATCTACATATAACCCCTCCCTGGGGGACAGACAGCAGAAAATTGGGTGAAGTGAGACATTGGTCAGTGTAAGACATGAAAAAAAATGTATAGTGCTGGACACAGATGACGTATGTACAGATTGTGATGAGTTGTACGAGCCCCTAATAAAATGATTATTTAATTACAAAATTTTTTTAAACTGCCAAGGGTTCATGAGGGAGGGAGGGTGGGGAAAAAATGAGGAGCTAATACCAAGAGTTCAAGTCAAAAGATAATGTTTTCAAAATGATGATGGCAACATATGTACAAATACGCTCGACACAATGGATGGATGTATAGATTGTGATAAGAGCTGTAAGAGCCCCCAATAAAATGATTTTTTTAAAACCTAGAAAACAAAACAAACAAACAAAATGAGCGGCTTGGGAAACTGGAAGTTGTGATGGGTTTTAATGGGAAAGGAGAGGGATCCCCATCAGAAGTGATGAATGTCATGAGGCGTTGAAGGGATCAGGTATCAGGCATCATCAAAACAAAAAATCTTACCACAGTGAATGAGGGAGGAGTGCGGAGTGGAGACTCAAAGCCCATTAGTAGGCCACTGGAGATCCCCTTGCAGAGGGGTCTCGGGGAGGAGACGAGCCAGTCAGGGTGCAATGTAGCAACGATGAAAAATACAACTTTCCTCTAGTTCCTAAATGTTTCTACCCCCCTCCTCCCCACAATCATGATCAGAATTCTACCTTGCAAGTCTGGCTAGACCAGAGGATGTACACTGGTACAGATAGGAACTGGAAGCACAGGGAATCCAGGGCGGATGATCCCTTCAGGACCAGTGGTGTGAGTGTCAATACTGGGAGGGTAGAGGGAGAGTGGGTTGGAAAGAGGGAACGGAATATATGTGACCTCCTCCCTGGGGGACGGACAACAGAAAAGTGGGTGAAGGGAGACGTCGGACAGGGCAGGATATGACAAAAAAAACAATTTATAAATTATCAAGGGCTCATGAGGGCGGGGTGAGTGGGAAGGGAGGGAAAAAAAAATGAGGACCTGATGCCAGGGGCTTAAGTGGAGAGCAAATGTTTTAAGAATGACGAGAGCAATGAATGTATAAATGTGCTCTACACAATTGATGTACGTATGGATTGGAATAAGAGTTGTATGAGGCCCTAATAAAATGATTAAAAAAAAAAAAGTGATGGGTGGATGATAAAGAGCCATAGTTAGAAGTGTGGATTTTATCCTGAAGATACTATCCTGTGAAGATTATATTAGAAAATAAGCGTATTGAGGCACAGTTACAATCAAATATGCACATCTTAAATTTATCATTTTATAGATTTCAACATGGTTTGCACATCTCACAGCCTCAGAAGATTTATCCATTTTTGATTTTCTGAAATTCACTATTACTTTCATTTGTCTTATGAATCTAACTGCACTGATTTATTAGTTCCTTCCTTTTACTTTCTTTAAGGCCAATCTATTCATGGTTCCACAAAGCCTTCGGAGCATCACTGACCACAAATTTCACAGGAGAATCTAATGCTCTATTCGGGGCCCTTATGGTGCACTGGTTAAGCGCTCATTCAGTTGCTAACCAAAAAGTTAGCAGTTCAAACCCACGTAATTGTCCTGCTGGAGGAAGGCCTAGTGATCTGCTCACGTAAAGCTACAGCTTAGGAAACCCTCTGGGGCAATTCTACTCTGTCACATGGGGCCCAGTGAGTCGGAATGACTCAGTGGCACCCAGCACCACCGACTGCATTATCGGATGTGTGAAGGAACCCAATGACCGCAGTCTTTTTACCTCACTTTCTGGGATAGTGAGTTCCATTTCAAATTGTTGGCCCAGAGTCCCAAAGCATGTACTTCCCACAAGAAAAGTACTGTATGATTCCACTTACATCAACTATTCAGAGGAAGCAAGTACACAGATACCAAAGTTCACCGATGGTTAGAAAGGGCTGGTGGGAGGCTCCAGGAAGGGAGGTGTTGCTTAAGAGGTGAAGTTTTTGCTACTAGTGATGAAACAACTGTTCCCAGAGTTGTCCCGGGTGCACATCATGGTGAAGGAAGTGAAAGTCACAGAACTGTATGTGCACAGATGGTCGAAATGCTTTGCTACATATTATTTCACCACAAAGATAAAGTAAAATAAAAAGCACTCTCCCTCTTTTAATGCCATTACCACTCTCCCAGTCATCTATGCTCCAACCGCAGAGCATTTTTCACCACTCCGTGTTCATCCAGGACTTGATGACTCTTAGACCCATCCTCCTTTCCTACCCCAACCAGTTCGTTTCCAATCGTCCATGTTAACCTCTCATTACCTTCCACAACCAACTCCAAAGCCAAATCATTCCTAGGCATACTACAAAACCACATTCAGCAAGGGACACTACATCTTTCTCAGAGTTTTGATAAATGCTTCTCCTTACTGTAAAATCTTCAATGCCTCCCAATTACACCACAAATTCTTCTCCTAGTTAATAGAATCATCCATTATCTGCCCTCTTTCCCTTCTGTCTCTTTAACTTTCTCTCTACTCCCCCACGTGCACCTCCCTGCACTCAGCCTGGTCTCCACACAGACAGCTGCGCACATCCCGAGGCCTGCCAGCCCTCTAGTGGCCTGCCTGCTCACAGGCCTTACACCGTGTGTGCCACCCTCTCGTCTCCAGTTCCAGTCTCACAGTCCTCTCAATGTGGCACGTACATCCCTTTGTTCTAGACCGCAACGGCTGTGCACTGATACACCTACATACTCAGCTTCAAGAGTTAGAACAACAATCACATATACATTTTCTTAAAGAGTCCGGAGGGTAAGAAACATAACGTGATTGTGAGCAGTTACCACTGATACTTAATAGAGAATGGTGGCATTTCTCTAAATTCACTTGGCAAATGGGAATATTTTTAGTTACATTCGCAACTTATTAAATACTGTGGTACAGCCTAAAGGAAAGTTTTATGAGTTATTTTGTGGTACTTTAAAATTAAGAGCTACATATCACATATATTTTAAATTGGTAGAAATAACATTTAAATAAAAATTTATTTTAAGGGCTTCTTTAATGAAATGTGCCATCTAACATTTATGCAGATGGTAATCTCTAGATAGTTTACATCTGTTACATTGCCACATATATAGCACCACTTTTAAACGTAGCTGTAGCGTGAATACATACTGGTTACTCCTTTTCTCTCACCTGCTTTGACTGGAAACGGCTTCTCCAGTAGAAACTGCGTTTGTTTCCAGTGTGTTTTGGTACTCTGGGGACCCGTAGAGAATGTGACCTGCATTGGCAGAGCCAAAAGTATCTGATGAAGTACAAGATTTTTAATATCATGGTACATTAATCTACTACATCAAATGAAAGCTGCAATTGCTTACATAGCAAAATGCTTATGATCAAAACACCTTGGGGCAAAAACACATGATACCATGTAATTCACATAATTAATAAGATAACTCATGATACTTACCCTCTTGTGGCAATTCTTCTCAAAATATATATCAAAGTAACCAGCAACTGCCTATTAAAAAAAAAGTGAAAAAAAAAAAGGTCATTAATCTAATTACATGCAGTAATAATTGATTACACATACAATCTTTTAAGATTCTTTTTAATTCCTGGGAAAGATGCCATAAATAAAAATGAAGTAATATTATTTGGTAGTCCCTCACAAAACAGCACAACTCAGTTCATAGCTGGTTTCATGGAGCCCATGTGGCAGAAGGCTCAGCCAGTCCAACGCAGATCCAGATTCCCCACTGAAACTCCAGCATGTGGACAGAGCCACCCTGGACCCTCCAGTTCTGGTTAGGTGCCCAGACAACTGTAGGTGCATGAGCAGCCCCAGGAGAGACCCGTATCCAAATAAGCAGACATCCTGGATATGGCTAGTACAGACTGCAAAACCATAAACAAATAAATAGAAACGACTGTAGCTTCAAGCTACTCAATTTTAGAGTGGTTTCTTACACAGCAATAAATAACTCATCATACGCTTTTATATAAAGCTAGTTTATTAAATTTCTTCAGACCTCATGCATTCAATTTTAAAGCAAACGACAATGAGTATTTTTGAAGAGCACAATGGAAATACTTTTAAAGTATTTATTATATGAGTTGGGTTTTTTTGGAAGATAAAATAAGTCAGTAGCAGTACTCAGATAAAACTTACATTTAAGCAAATACCCAAAGGAGAAACTCCAAAGTAATAAAAGGCTATTATACAGACAAAGTCTTTAAGAGAACACATTTCAGAAGGAATAATTTTTACATTTTAAAAATTTAAGTAGTACTATGACTTTTTCTTTTGCTAGTACGATTAGCTTGACTTAAACTACTTTTAAAATTGGCATTAAATAAAGCTTACAATGTATTAAAAACAGGAAAATGATTATTGAAAAATCACTAAAAAAAACTATTTTGTGTACTATGCTACTTATGTTCAGAATGTGAATTTTTATTCGTCTCGTAGGGCCAATATGGATTAGAAATAAAATAAATTCAATATTTAACCTTGAGGTTCATTAGAGTTTAGATACCAAGAGAGAATGCAATTAGTATAGAGTTCTGTCCAGCAGAATTATAAACTAATGTAGCTATACAATTGAGCTACAGATGATCATACAAAACCATATAGTGAATCAAAATATTTTTAAAATTTAACTTTCCCAGATTTCCTAATACTTAACATACTCTTCCAGAAAACTCACTCAAATGAGTCCTTACATGATGTCTTTATGGCCGTCTATGTCCTCAGGGCCCAGAGCAGTGTGAGGCACACAGACAGAAAGTATTTACTGAATGTATTTATGTTATGTAGTTCTAATAGTACTTACCGTACTGTATTACAGTTAATTGACCCTATCAGGCTTCAGTCAATTTAAGAACAGGTTCTGTGTTTATCTCATATGTCTACACTCCTTATCTAGGATACTCTCCTTGACATGACTCCAAGCTAAAGACAAGGCTCTGATGTGAAAATGAGCATTATACAAAAATGGAGGATGATCACATCAAATCACAAAATAGAGGATAACTACATCATCACACAACTGCCAAAGTTTATCTTGCCAATCTTGACTGTCAAATCAGTAAGAATTATGACCCAGCTAAGCTGACACAATAACTTTAACAATCACAGCCAACATGACTTACTCCCAACTAGCATCATGGGGTTCAGTACTGCCAGCCGTTTGTTGTTAACGTGAAAGGTAGATAGTAGATATTTCACTATGATTAGGAATGTGAAATGTCGTTTAACAAAGACAAACACGTTTAGTGAGGAGGAGGGCTAGTAAGATTCTCAGTAATTTTAGTGACATTTTCTAGCTACTAGCTAGGTTTAACATGTGCTGCTGTTATTAGGTGCAGTCGAGGCGATTTTAACTCACAGGAACTCCATGTGACAAAACAGAACTGTCCCTAGGGTTTTCCTAGGCCACAATCTTCATGGGGACAGATTATCGTGTCTCTCTTGTCCAGTGCTACAGGGTGGATTTTAACTGCTAAGCTGGTGTAGCAGCTGAGAACTTAAATCACTGTTAGCTTGATTATGTGGTCAGTAGAATTTGCTAAGTTGTTTACTGACTAAGATAAAATAATCTTCAACTCTGAAAAAATGGGATATGTAGGCAAATATAGAAGAAAAAGAATGAGAGGGTCCCTTAATTCCATGCCTGAAAGCGCACAAGCCTCTGCTTAATCCCTGAATTACGCGTATTCAGCTAAAACAAATCCAGGAAGCAAAAGCCTCACTGAACTGCAATCTGACTCACTGACACAAGTTTCAGGCTCACCATCTGAATGACACATGCGCAGGAAAGATGGAAACCAGCAAATGGCTGAGAACTGAGATGGGAGAGTGAAAAGCTTTAAACTATGACTGAACAGCAGAGATCCAAAATAGCAGAGTGAAGGTTTGAAGACTGAAATCTGCACTACTGTGTGCCCAAACTACTGAGACAGAACTTAGCGTCTGACCCGAACTCAGTTGAATACCTGCTAAAGCCAAACAAAGCCCCTAGTCTGCAAGCACAACATGCACAGTGACCAGGACCTCGTCCACGATGACTAAATACACAAAGACCAGGACCGTGGGACCAGCTCTCATGAGCAATGATAACCAGCAGAGGCTATTTCTAAGACGGCCTACATGAAGCTACTCTCAAGCAAAGACTTTAAAACAGCAATGACAACTGTTCTACGAGGTAAGACAACATAGATGGAATGAGTTAAAAGACAGGAATCTTCAGCAGAGAAAATAGGAACCACCAAACAAAGGAGAGAGATGCAAAGGGGAAATTTAACTCTGAGTTGAACAGCAGAATAGAGACGAGGGAACACTAGTGAATCTGAAGGCCAACAGAAATAATCCCTTTTGAAGAACAAAGGGGAGCAGGTTGAAATGAAACGCAGAGTCAATGGGATGTGCAGGTGTAACTCATGTACAACTGGAGACCTAACTGGAAAAGAGAGGCTGGAGCCAAAGAAAGCTCCCAGAATTACATATGCAGGAAAAGTATGTTTCAGGGATAAAAGCAATTAAAAGACATGCAATAAAAGGAAAAATCTTTAAATTCATAGCCAACGACTTGGTCAAAATAAAATCCACTGCTACTCAGTGACCCTCTGTAAGGTTTCAGAGACGATACAGCTTTATGGGAGCAGGTAGCCTCATCTTTTTCCAGTGGATCAGTGGGTGGGTTTGAACCACCAATCTTGGGGTTAGCAGCCCGATGCTTAACCCACAGGGCTCATTAAACCTACTCTATTAGACATTTCAAAGGAAGTTCTCTTAACTGATAGGAAATAACAGATGAAAACCTGGAATATAAGGAATAAAGCAAGAACACAGAAATGGTGTGTATACATACATAAATATGAAAATAATAGAATGCTATTTCTCCCTCATGTTCTTTAAAACATCAATAATGATTTAAAGCACAAATGAGAACCTCATTTGGTAAGGTTTTCAGTGTAGACCACTGACGGGTCTATCAATAAAAACAAGCGTTGACAGTACTTGGAGGTAGAGAAGGTATTTCTGCACTTTTAAGTATAACACACAGGCAGAGACTGACAATAAAGAAAGCTATTACAAATCAACAAGAAAATGATTAACTTCAAAGGAAAAATGAACAAAAGACATCCAAGAAAATCAAGTGATTAATTAAGTCTGTGAAAAAAAGTTTGGCCTATTTAGAAAAATAGTAAATTAGACCCACCAGATACAATTTTCCCTTACGATGTTGGGGAAACTAGTCGGCCGGGATAGCGGCGGTGCCTGTGATAGTGGTAGAAGCTGGAAGGCTCCGAGGCGAGCGTCTGCACTGCTGGTTATTTCTGCTTCTCAAGTTGAGAGCTGAGCGTGCGGCAGTATTTGCTGTATGTTCCTGTCTTTGATGTGTATGACAAATATCATGGGATGTCCAAACCCACGGACTGTATACATATACAACTTTCAAAACAGTTCTATGGCTGTTGTTCAGGATACTTGCAAAGATTTAGCAATGTTAACTTGAACACATTCGAGTAGGTTTCAGAAAGTTCATGGAAAACTGCGAGGAAATAATATTGGAACTTTTCCACCCATCTTTTGAAGCCTCCTGGTACTTTCAACAGTAAGTGACTGGAGTACTCCTAGTGGAGCACTCGTGAAGCCTTTCGCTGCTAACTGAAAGACAGGTGCTTTGAACTCGCCTAGCCTCTCGGCAGGTGAAAGAGCTGCCAATCTGTTTCTGATAAAGTTACGGAAAAGAAGACGCTCTGGGAAAGTTCTGTGTCACAGAGGGCCACTGAGAGTTGAAATCAACTTGACAGCACCCACCATCATGACCAAATGGCATTTCTTTTGGCCAGTAGAAATAAACCTGTACAGCGCAAGTGTTAACAAGTGAAATAATGTGCACACAGAGGTAGCACACTGGGATTCTCTATACTTTCTGCACCTGAAACGGTTCTAAAATACACAACCTAATACATAAACAAATAAAAATACACAACCTAACCTTCTAAACAGTTATCCTGTAGGAAAGTATTTATAGATTTGATAAAACACTCACAACATACACACATAAAAAGCAGGTTATCAACTAGTATGTAATATGTTAAGTGTTCATTTGCAAAAATAGTCATCAAGCTATTGGTAGTGATGCATTTGGAGCACTCACAGTCTGTGTCTTCATAGTTTATATAGCCCACAAAAACTAGTAGCTTATGTAATGATTTATTATTTTTAATAAGATTTGAGTTATCTGCAACACTGCAGGGTGAAGCACTCAAAATTCACCTTCTACCTTTCTCCAGGCTTCTTGGGTGACTCCCCCCAGTCACTCATCTCTGTAGCCTACCGAGACGGGCACTACCTAACACTGACATGCACTCCTCACTTGGTAACTCGGGTAAGGTTCCAAAGACAAGCTGTGATGTGAAAATCAGCGTTGTGCAAAAATCGAGATGACCACACCAGATTTCACAAAATTGAGGACGGCTGTACCAGTACATAATTGACAGCCACAGAAT